CTGTGTATTTCACCTGTATTATAAGATGAACAAAGTATATGAAAGTAAATATTTAAGAAGTACATCTCAGGGGTAGATACAGTCAGTATTCTACTTTAGAACTAGGGCCTATCTTCAATATTATTTCTCCCCAAATATATAAAATTGTACTTTATATATTTGTAAAGCATTTTCCACTAATACTGCATCTTTGTTTATCTTAAGGGACATATTTGGAGAAGACTGTGTTAGTGTAAAAGATGGTTCTATCCTTAGCGTCACAGTGGACGGAAAAACTGCTAACATAAACTTGGAGACACGGGTATGTAGCTGTTCATTCCTACATTTTAAGACACTTGGGAGATAAAGTGAAAGCAAAAATAATCTAGTTTGCAGTTTACTTTTGCATATTGGCGTTTTCTTCCAGTTTTTTTCCTACATTTTTTTAATAGATTGTGTTTACACTATCATATGTCAGGTTTTACATCCTTTTTATTTCTCTGTCTTAAACGTTTTTCCATTTGCTACATAGTATACATTTCCATTGTCTTTATTACTCCAGTGTTTTCCATTTTCATAATATGCCTTAATCCACCTCAGCATTTCTCTACTTTGGCATCCAGTTGATTCCAGACTTTCAGAGAAGCTCCTCTTCTGTTTGCAGCAAAATCCAAGTGGCTTTTCCAAACAATAGAACTTGAGGGCGTGAGGCCCATGCCCACCACACCCAGCAGACCTTTCATAATTATTTCACAAGCATAAATGAATAAGTATCATCTTCCTTGTGGGGTTGTTTTTGAAGATTACAACAGTTCTACTAAACAAATAACATGTTTGGGGGTTTCTTCTGTATATTCTTTTGAGAAAACACTAGATTTATTTTACCTTGATAGAAAAATAAGCTAAGAACATAAACAAGTAATTCACTAGAGAAGAAATATAGAGAGCCAGTAAACATATGAAACAAATGTTCAGATCAGATCCACTAATAATTAAAGGAAATACAAATTGAAAGTATGAAATATCACTGTTTTGAGCTTATACTGGCACAGATTAAAAACAGTGATATGACCCAGTGATGGTGAAAGAAGAGGGAAACAGTTATTTTCAAATGCCACATAGGACAGGGAGAAGGTTGTATGTTAGGTGGTGTGTTCTTTCTGCAGGGCGGTTTGGTGATCTGCATCAAAAGCCTTAAAAAAGTAAATACCTTTATCCACAATTCCACTTGCTGGATTTAACAAAGAAAATAACTAGGCAAGTGAGCAAAGATATATATATATACAAGGATGTCTATTTTAGTATTGATTAGCAAAACTGCAAGAGACCTAAATTTCCAAGAGTAGGATCTAATACAATAACTGAATAAATAATGTGTATGGTGTACCCTTAGACATGGAATACTATGTATACAGCCACTAGAAATGATTTATTCAGGTGCAGAGTTGTCCACCTACATTATTGAGTAGGGGGGAGTTACAAGATAGTCAGTGTGCTGAATTATCCCATTTTTGTTTTGAAGAAATACACATGTATAGCCAGAAGTCTAGAAGGTTATGCACTGAAATGTTAACAGTGATTTATCATTAGGTCATAGAATTAAGGGTATTTTTTTTCTTTCCTAAATTTTTACATGAGGGATATTTATTGGGTGATAAAAATTGTTTTAAACAGCATAGTGTTTTGTAGTTAAGGAGTAACTGGAAGATGATTAGTGAATCTAAACCAAATTTAATACCAAATGTTGATTAGATGACCACATCCATTGCTTGCTAAGTAATTGGTGTTGCACAGACTAGATTCCTTGGAGTATTATTTACTAGATCCAAACATGGGCTTTGAAGTAAACATAGTTCACTTGACTTTCCCTTATTCTTTTTTTTTCAAAAGTTAATCTCTAACAAAGTCATTGTGCTCTCGGTAACGTCTCTGCATCCAGATGCAGACCCACAGGTGTGCAGTGATTCTGGCTCTTAATAATCAACACCCCCCACCCCTATGGGAAATGATTGTTCTTAAAAAGCATTAGTTTATCTTCCATATAATTCTAGACACTTCCGTTGAAAGGCATGTCTGTGCTCTCGCTTTCAGACTGTAGAATGTGAAGAAGGAAGTGAAGATGACGAGTCCCTCCGAGAAATGGTGGAACTGGCGGCCCAGAGACTATATGAGGCCCTCACGCCAGTTCACTAATAACCTTATGTCTCTGTAGATGTTAAAACTTTTTTGTAATGCTCGACTCTACTTCTGTTACTTAAAATAAAATACATTAATTTCTCTGGGGTAGCCTCTTTACTTTTGATGGCAAATGGCCTTTATTCTAGCACCTATTTGAATACTGCTAAATTACCAACTAATTTGTCCATTATTCTAGCAACTGCTAAATAAACTGCCGTTACTGATTCTGCTTCTAGGGTTGTATGCAGCTCCCACTGAAACCTTTAAGATCTGCTCATAGCAGCTGAAACAGAATGTCTTATTGTCCGTTTTCAGGAAGGAAATGAGTGATGGTTTGAATTTTCATATCCATTTTCTGAATTTGAATTAATAATTACATATTATCACTTAAAGTTTTAAGCCCTTTTTCTATTTCTTCCCGCCCATTATTCTTGACAAATTCCTTAATTTATATGTCTGTAAAATTGGGACTTTTGAGATTCAATAATATTTTCTTTGTATGTCTACATTCAATTCAGAGATATTCAAAATATAATTTTTATGACTCAGGTTCAAGGGTTCGTCATGTGTGTTGAATCGTTTCCTGTATAACTTAATCATTAATCCATTTTCTTCCAAGTACGAGCAGTTCAGACTTGCAAGTAACTGGACACAGGAGTGTCAGGTGCCGGGTGCTGGGGGAGCAGGTCGACTGCCGGGGGCAGCTTTGGCCTCTACTTCAGTGAAGGGTCTGGCTGCTCCCTCAGCAGAGGGGGTGGGAACAAGCACGGGAAGGGGCAGCTAAAGAGCTGTTACACTCACTGTCAAGCTAAAGCCATCGGTCAGCCACAGTCACTAATTTGCACTGACATTGCTTAGTCCTTCCCTGTGCTTTGGTGACACACTTTGCTGCCTGAATCTGAATTTTTACTTGAAACCAAATACATTTATTTCTATAAGATACCCTACTTTGTCTTTGGCCCAAACCAAAGGCCTAAGGGTCACCTTTTATAAGTGTCATATAAGAGTGTGTTATGATAGATGTTAAAACATTTTTAAGTTACAAAAACTACACACTTGTGATATCTTTACCACGCAGGTTATACACAGCAAAAATGGCGAGCCCTCTCTGCTAGCCCCTCCCCCTGAGGTAGCCGGTTTCAGTTAAGGATTCTAAATTGCTCTTGAATCTGTCCTCGTCTCACCTCCACTGTGGCCCGGAGTCCAAGTCATCTTTTCCCCTCTGGTTCCTGCCCCAGCTTCCCTCCCTCCTCTCCCAATAGCTGATTCCTAAAATAACATGTGCTGAAAGCCTCCCTGCTGAAAATCCTTCAGGGCTTCTTTACTGTGATTAATTAGGATGTAATCCAAACACCTTAACTTGGCCTCACAGGGGTTCTCTACCCCGGCTGCATATTGGAATCACCTGGGGAGCGTTAAAAATGTACTGATGCCCACGACCTACCATCAGAAGTGTTGTTAGTTGGTCTAGAGTGGTGGTCCTTTATCAACACATTCTTAAAGCTCCCAGTTGATTCTAGCTGAAGCCAGGGAAATCCAGCCTGAAGACGGGGTCCCGCTCTGTATCACCCTACCTGCCTCTCCAGCTCCAGCCACTCTCCCGCGCAACACCCTACGTCCAAGCCACGGAAACGGCAGCTATTCTAACACACACTGCTCCCCTTCTGGTTTTCACCTTAAGCTCAGTTGTTTCCAGACACTCTTCTGGCTCGATTTTATCACAGCTGTCACACTTCATTAAGTGCTTGAGCAAACCTGAGCCAGGCTCTTCTGTCTTCTCTCTAAGCCCCCCCCCCCCCCC